AAATGTTCTTACAATATCGATCTCTTCAATATTGTTGTAAGGTTTGCAAATGATTCTGTAATTACGACACTTCTGCTTACGGAAACGAAATCTACATGGGCTGTAGAAGTGCATCTAGGCTGCTACAAAACGCTGTAACAAGTGAAGAAGGAGTTAAGATTGCGACAGATGAAGTACTAAAAACCGCGACTGCGACATCGCCTTGCAGGAAATGTTTCACTAATGCCTTCAGCTGCGAATTCAGTTTTCGATGAGGGCAGTTCCGTTGTGTCCAGCCCGTTTACATTTTATTGCTGTAAAGGCCAATTTACTAGAGACGAGTCGCATTTGCAATTATGCGCTGTCTGCCGAAATGTCCTGACATTCCACAGCATTTCAGAAAGAGAAAAAACTCAATCGAGATGTTTCGACTATTCGACTGAATATCAAATTGCACAACTGTATGTGAAATGAAACATATTTATGAGAACACAAACGACCCTCTCAAAAAATCCTCAATTCGTGCACCTTTAGTCAAATTGCGAGGTTGGCAGAAGACCTGCAATTTAATTTATTCATCGACTTTCTCTTAATGATGAATAGCTAGCAGAACTGCAAACGCATACTGCAAGTACTGCGCTCGACTCAACGCGTGAGGAGAGCGCAGAACTTCATCGGGACAACCAAAGCGAAATCGAAATCAATGTTTTTCAAAGACACGAACGTCTGGCACGAGTTTATTGAGGATTAAAGCAAACAACAAAGCCATTAAACAGGCGAAGCCAGGCAGAAACGCTTGAAACCCGCGGTAGGCAAGTCGCTCTCTGCCAGCCCTGTGAGGCCTTTGACGGGCCTCAGCACTGATCGTTGCGGGACCGGTGGGCGTACATCGCGGCGCTCCTTCAACCGGCGATCTTTGCATCTCTGCTATCACGTCTTCTTTCGAGTTGGTCGTTGCTCCTCGGAATGAGTTCGGAATCGACGAAGTCGCTTGATGATGTTCGTGCTGAAGTCGAGAAACACATTCGTAGTATAATGGACTTCCCCAAGGAAGGCATCAATTTCAGGTAAGATTTCGTGTGTTTAGTGTGCATGATTATTTGGTAACTGTTTTTTTTATCACAAAGCAATTTTCTGAATTTGAACTCATGTTCATCGCAACGGTCTAGTATGACTATGAGACCTAAATCTAGCAACGAATAGCCAAAATTCGGCTTCTCATCTAAAGCAGTGTAGACTTGCCCCTTGGGTTAACCGTCCGTTCGCATTATTTGGACGAGGGGTTCACATCTGTGATTTTTGGAAGGGGGTCGTATGTGGGCTGAGTAAGGTTAGTCACGTTTAGGAAAAGTGTGAATGGGAGGGGGTCGTATTTGGAAAGTTGAAGGGGTGATTGAGCTGGAGAAGTGGGTCATTTTTGACGGGTTTTTCGACGATTTTTGGCGAAAACTTCATGAAAGCAATGTGAAATGGATAAAATTAAAGGATATGCTTCTCTATTAGTATTTACCCCCTCCCCCGCCTCTAGAAACAACCACAATGGCGAGGCGGGTGGAGTGGCGGAGGAGAAGGACGGGGGGGAGAGTATGGGGCGGGTGCATTCTGCGGGGAAATTTTGGTAGTGGTAGGCTCGTAATGAGACTCTCCGAAAGGACAGGGGGTCGCAAATTTTCTGGGTTTCCGCGAACGCGACGGTTGACCCTGTTTGCACCACCACATAGAATCATAAGGGCTACTGGCCACCGAATCTCCGAAAGTTGAAATTCGATCTCCCTCAACCGTTTCAAGTGTTCGTCGTCTGAGTATGTCTTCGTCGCAGGCACCTGCGATGTCGTTTTGCGTCTGCGATACTCTACTACCGCCATTCAGCACCCTATCCAGCCTGTTTGTATGGGTCGGGAAGCTCTGATGCTGATCTGTAAACGAAATTATGTACGATGGTAGGAAAGAGAGGAGAGGCATTTCGATGCAGAACATCCGAGTCTTTTGAAACCCCCACAAATATGTTCTTCATTGGGGAGTCTTTGGAAAGTAACCCGAATCCAGCTTCATTTTTGCGCAAGCAAGATGTTTCGTATGCGGGGAGCATTTTCCTCCGGCAAAAGTGGGATTACTGTTGTCGGTTAGAACTACTGCTCAGAATGCCCACCCACCCCCTTCTCCTCACACCTGGTTGTAACAACTCGAAACGGAGCCATATTTGCCTTGCCCTGAAATTATTGAAAAGTGTTCCTTAATCTCTTAAGCTTGCGATTTTCCCATGTCTTCTCAGCTTTGAGGTGTGAGAGATGAATGGATCTTTGATATCGCATTTTATTATTACCTGACTGCCTTCAGTACGTGCAGTAGCTTCCTAAACGAACTCATCTACAACCTCTTTTTTGAGTTCTTCATTGTTCTCTTCCAATTTCGAAGCAAAAGCAGTATAATATATCATCCTACGATTTTGTTTTTTCTTTCGTTGGCGGGAATATATGATTAGCGCGACTTCGTCGTTAGTTGGATGACCTTTATTTTATGGCGTTGTTCTGACCTATTTTTCCTCGAGTTAGAAATGAGTGACCCATTTTTGATGCGAATGGGTGTGTAGCAGAAAGTCAGAGGATGATGTCGCGCTTCTTACAGCATAATGTTTTGTCGGACTGATAGAATGCCGCAGTGAAAACATCTACAACACGAGCCCTTCACCGGACTAGTGTCTTCATTTTGGGAGATTCGCAGTGTCCTTGTATATGGCTTAAGTTCGCCTCTGGCTTTTGTGCACGCCATGTTTTCTCTACGGAACGATGTGTACTAGTCCTTGGGTGGCAACTGCATTGAATTAAATCAAATACGGGCGAGGTGCTGTGGCGTCCTGCCTTTCTTCTACTCATCCTATGGCTATGTTGGATGAAAAATCACCATCGACAGCATCTCGAAAGCAATAAAACTGTTTTGTCCGAACTTCAGACATTATCAGCTTCACTTGTCATTGTACTTTTTAGTAATTTTGTCGTACTGTAGTGGTCTGAGAATTGGCTGAAAGGGTTGTGAACGAGATAAATCAAAGCATTCCGTAGTGGTTTCATAGTCTGTAGGATTGGGTAGGGCAAGTTTCAGGTGTCAGAATTCTGATAGTCTGGCTAATTGCGCGATGGTCGTAGAATCTGACACCTGACTGATGCACCCTACCTTAATGAACGTTTTACGAAATCTTCAAGTCTTAACAATTCACAATAGAACTAATCTTTGGCTCCACTAATACATATTATACTTTATTTGATGAAAAACGAGGCACACGTGAGGCTAATATAGTAAAACCTTAGGGCAGTGAGACTGGCATAGAAGAGTTCCCACTTTCGGAGATCATGCGCAGTTTCTCTTGCAGATTTGGTGCGCTTTTGGGTTTCTAGTTCTGGTGTCGTCCTCGTGGATTTGAGCTTTGTGTTTTCTAATCGAGGAGTCCGTGCTCTGATGTCCTTTTAGTTGAGCTTTCAACCATAGTAAGCAAATATTTCCATTCTCCATGCTTGAGGCTCCTTTACTGGTACCTGACATTAGTTTTAGTGTCTCCATACCACCAACCAGTTAGCAAACTACGCGGTGTATTGTTGTTGTTGTTGTTATTGTATTATCATTTCGTTATTGCAGTGATTCAAAATCCATTCATTCTATTTAGGATCCTTGTTCTATTTGCGCTCTTCTTTCAGGGACATAATGCCTCTTTTTGCTCATCCAAACATTGTAAATGATCTCTGTAAGGGAATTGCTCAGCATATACGGGCAGACGTCGGTGAAATCGACGCGATTGCTGCTCTTGAGGCACGAGGTTAGTGTAGAATAGTTTTCATTTCTCATGTTATGCTTCTTTCATCTTACTCCACAGCAGTCAAAAAATTCTATCCAAACATTCTCGCTGAGGTTTGTGGTGATTTTCTGTAGCATTTTGAAGTAGATGATCTTTTCATTTTTTTGCACGGCGCCTGACTCTTCGTTCATCCGTGTGGCAAGGGCCACGGCTTCTCATCGGTCAATAAAACTGCTCTTTGTACTCACCCTCTGTGTTCAGCACATATGCACTCTACCGCCACCGCTCACCTTCATAAATCATAGTCTCGCACGGCTGCCCTTCTGCACGTTGCTT